AAAATGCGTCTGTCCATTCCATTTTATTCTCAAACAACTAAATTACTAGTACCTGAATTTCATAATATACTAGTACCCACGTCTTTAATGAAAGTTTTCTATATCTCATACTAGTATTTTATATTATTTCACTGGTTTATATTGCATATTTAATGTTGATCAGATAATGCTTAACTTTGATTTTTTTTTATTTAGTGTCAGCAATCTTGGTTCCGGTAGTGACTTTGCACCATTTATGTATCGTATTGGAGTGCCTGGCGCAGACATCAGATACACCTATAGTAGAGTATGTTATAAGCACGAATCACATCTATTCTCAACATTTAAAAAATAGATTGTGTTTTATGCAAGTTATCAGGTAAATAATAGACGGTAATTCTCATTTCAGTCTCTTGGTATATCGTCATATCCGGCCTACCATTCAGCCTACGAAACATTATATCTAATGGAGACGTACATAGATCCAGGTTTCAAGTATCATCTTGCTGTGTCCCGCGTGTGGGCAGAGCTAACACGTGACATAGCAGAGGCTATCATCATTCCATTCAACTGCAATGACTATACAAGCAGGCTTGTCGAGTCGATTGACAAATTGAAGAAAGACTATGAAACAGATATGGCACAACATGGAATAACGTTTAGTGAGTAAATAAATTAATATGGTAAAGTTTTGTGATCAATTTATTTTAATTGAAACTTAAAGCTATGTTACATTCAGTTTATTTTCAATGCATAGTGGTGTAACGGTGAGCACCACATCTGATTACAGTGTTGAGTTGACAGTATGAATAACATGTTTTATGTTTGTAAATGTAATTATACTATTTCAGATACATAATTGTACAAACATGCATACATATATACTGTTGTCTACCAATAGATTTTCTTGATATTTCTTTTCTTTCTCTACAATTATTTGTACAATGGTATACTCTATTTATTCGCAGGTGATATAGACTCCGCCATGATTAATTTCACGAATGCAGCTAGAGATTTACATGTACGAATTGATGGCATGATAAAAAACGAGTATGTCTGTTATATATTTGATGTACAATAGATATTCAAATGCGTGTTGAGATTCAATTAATTAATGAGTATACTTCTGACATGGTGTGTGTTATTTATATACACATGGATATAATGCGTTAAAACTCTTTTAATGCAGTGCCATGGCAATAAGAGCTGTTAATGACCAGTTGATGAATGTTGAAAGAGCTTTTATTGATCCTCTTGGATTACCAGATAGAAAATTTCTCAGGTGTGGTATAAGATTTAGTTTTTCTGAATTATGATCATTTTTTGTGTCAAGAATCAACTGTGTGAGATTACCATATCCACATTGACTAAGTTTGCGAAAAGGTGTTGCTTAGCTCCACAATGTTGAATAGCTGATAAACACAACAAAATATTAAAAATTCAATACTTATTAATTCTTTTTTGAATACACTTATTTACAGACATATTGTTTTTGCACCAAGCAGTACAAACTCTTACTCTAGCGCTACATTTCCGGGTATTGTTGATGCTATGTTTAAAATTGATGAGGATTCAGATCAAGATGGGCGATGGAAAGTGGTAGAAGAGCAAATGTCAGTTGCAGCATTCACCATCCAATCAGCATCTACTACTATGGCAGATTACCAAATGTGACAGGCTGAACATTTTCACAGATTGATAAACATTTGTAGTTTTTACTTATACTATTATATATGAAAAATTAATGATTGAAATTAAAAAAAAATCAGAATATTGATGTTATATAAAAATCTGTGCCCTCTCAAAATAAATCCACTAATAATAGATCGAATTGATTGATTAGCAACAAACATATCAAACAAACAAATCCCCATAAATCATAATGTTTTTGAATATAAATGATTTTTGAACATTTTCAAACCAGGTTTGATGTTCAGTTCAGGCGGCAAGTTCAGGCTGACAAAATTTGGTCTTAGGAAGGTGAAAGAAAATTCCCCTCAACCAGTAATTCGGACATCTTTATACATTTGTGTTGATGAAATTATTTCTCAAAGGCTTTGTCCTTGGAAATTCACAACAAATCTCAGCAAAGTAACAAAGTTTGGGTTTTTATTGTTTGCCACATTGTCCTTGTTGATCTCTTTCACAAGCTCCATCATATACTATGATCAGTCCTAGTTTTAGTAAGATCTTGTAATTATGACAAAAAATATTTATATGCAGACTTCAAATCTAGTATATCACCACATCTGAATTCATCTGATTTTAAATTCAACTCCTGTATGCAATTATAAATCACAAATTTGTATTAAGTTTTCAACACATATATTTATATGCAGATAGTAAATCACACATTTTTATTCATAGGGATTTAAATCTAGTAAGCCATCATTCCATGTGCAGATTTTAAAGCAAACACCTGTATTTATATAAATACTTAAATTCTAGCAGATGAGCACATCTAAATTCATAAATTAACACCTATATTTATATGATAATTTAAACCACACATTTGTATTCATATGCAGATTTGTATTCATATGTAGAATTTAAATGAAACACCTGTATTCAAATATATCTGTATTTATATGCAGATTATAAATAAAAGTTTATACAAGCTTGAAAATCTACATTTTTAAATGTAGTTTATAAACTATTGTACCATCATGGTTTTTAGTAACCATACGAGTGCCATGCACTTTTAGAAAGATTAATTGTGTGGTTCAAAATGTGAAGCTTTTTTTTGTGAAACCAACATTGCTAATATGATAAACAAGCCGGTAGGCTGGTTGGCGATCCGCTCCGCTCAAAAACAAATAACATTTTTTGGCTGTTTCCATGGTGGGACATAAACGTGAAGCTAACGTCAGTTTATAACTAAATTGGCCCGTATACGAAGTTCGCAAAAGCCATTCAGTCTTTAGAAGTCACTTAGTTTATTCAAAGTTCAAAGTTGCGTTGGGATTACGTTGATACAGTGTAACAATGTCGGCGCTGGCGATCTCCTACCAGTGGGCAACGTATACGTAGCCAAAATAAAAATTATGGTCATTTGAACACTACTATTACAAAACCACAGTTGTGCAACCAAAGTGGGTGAAAAGGATGAGCATCGCCAGGCGATGGACGCGGGGCTCTATGGCTGTCGCATACGACTTATTTACCACTTCCGTGTCACTGAGAATGTTCTAGAACCGTACTGTGTCTGGGTGGAATATTCTA